ATATACCACATTTTCCGTATCCACTCATCCGATGATGGACATTTGGGCTGATTCCAACTCTTGGCTATTGTAAAGAGTGCTGCAATGAACATTGGGGTACAGGTATACCTTCAACTTGATGATTTCCATTCCTTTGGATATATTCCAAGCAGTGGGATAGCTGGGTCATATGGCAGATCTATCTGCAACTGTTTGAGGAATCAGAAGGAGGCCCATTTAAAAACAGTGTCTTTTGGGGCCAAAAGTGCTCACAGTGACATTTGCTGTTAAAAGTGAAACAATATTGAAAGGCTGCCATCAGATCCTTAAACTGCTCATTACTGATCTGGTTGCACCGGCTTCAGTATTCCCTATAGGGGTTTCCTCCCTCAAGAGTTTCTTCCCCTTCCCCATGGACAGTTTTTTAGATTGGCTTTCTTTGTACTGTGTAGCAGATATGTTTGAGAATGACAGTGGTTCTAAATGTTTCAATGCTAATGCGCTTTGTAAGGCTAGTAATGAGAAATAGCTTTCAAAATCCAGTCTGACACATTTCATGCGAAGGATCCAAAAGGCTTTCACAGTCATTTATTTTACCTGTAGAAATGTTGCCCTAGGGTTACATAAGTTGCCTGTGTCTGTAGAAGATGAGATCTTGAGTCTAGCTGTCATGGGCATAGCAAAAAGTGGGCAGAGGAGGAAATATGCCTTTCTGTTCTGCCCCCAACCCCTGCAAATTCTGGTGTCGTAGGTGACAGTGTGCTGGGAAAGAAAGTGAAGACTTATGCTGCTGCCTCTGAGTGCCACTTCCCCACTATGCTATACTGCTGCCAACCCCTCCATTCCTTTTAAAATTTTGCTGGAATTATTAGCCTTTTAAGTTTTGTCAGAATCCATTCATTCCACATCAGGATGCATAGGTCTGAATATTTAAACTGCAGCCCTGCTATGGTTCCAATATGTCTTTTGTCCCTGATGAAGGGTTGTCTCCTGATGTCTGACTTCCTACTTGTACAAAAGATACCTTTCTTGGGGAGGGGATGAAACTCTTCAACCACATCCATCCTTCCTTTTCTTGGCTGGCAGTGTGACCAGCAAGCTCTCAGCACTGTCCTTTGTGTTTTTATCAAAGGACTCTGGTAACCTTAGAATGGGGCGAACAGAATCTTGTCTGTGCTTGTAGTAGTCCATTTCTGTTGCTTATAGCAAAATACATGGAACTAGGTAATTTATAAGAAAATGAAATTTATTGCTTATAGTTTCTGAGGCCGGGAAGTCCAAAGTCCAAGGAATGTATCGGTGGTGGTGACAGTGACCCCTCACATTGTGAGATGGTGGAGCAGAGAGAGAGAGATTAACCTCCTCATTCACTCTTTTTAAAGCCCTCAGAACCTCACCCCTGACCACTATTATTAGTCCATTCACTACAGCATGGTCCTACAGTCCAATCACCTCTTCAGTGTCCCACCTTTCAATTACCATAATAGGATTTCCCACCCTCAACAGTTACAGTGGGGATTTAGTTTTGGGGGGACTGAATTCAAGGCAATGCTGATGATCTCCTTCTTGCCAGCATGATCTCTCATTCAGCCCCAGGGTGCTGTATCACTTTCTCAGCAAGAGCCTGCACCCTGACACAGCCTGCTTCCTTGTCTTCCTTTGTGAAACTGTATTCTGGGGAGAGGAGAAACTACTGTGCAAATTTGCTTTTCAGAAACCCTTCTGAAGCCCATGATGTGTCCAGAAGAACTCTGGAGAGAGTCAGTTCTGCTTTCTGGAGGTTGTGTGTGGACTTTGGGATGTTGTTCCTTTTGCTACTCCTTCTTGATGGATTTTTTTTTTAAACATAAAGGAAATCTTTCCTGTTAGGCTTGAGGCCACTCTGTGGGAATATTGGTTTTTTTTTCACAAAGCCAATCCCATGGAGCTTAAGCTGCTTTCCCGTTTGTTTCCATGGATAACAATTTAAACATTTCATTTTGTGTGAAGAGAAACGAAAGTTAATAAAACAGTGTTGACGAATCAACATCATCATCCAAAGCAGGCTTTTAACAACCATTTAAGAAAAAATCATAATCCACACCAACTCTGGAAGGCTAATTTTAGAAGCAAGTATTGTTAATTTTGTTCAGTTTCAATTTTAGAAAAATAT